CCAGAAGAAGGCTATCCTCACCCTCACTGGAAGGGATTGGTTGGGCGCAACTTCAAAAAACTTTCCAACCAGCTTAGCAACCTGCTCTGGACTTGATTCCATGCAAAAAGAAACTTTGAGGCACCTCCACTGTGATCTGCTAAATCTATAGCCTGGCCTATAAGATTTGGCCTCCTGAACCCTTCTGAAGTTCAATAGACTTGATTGAAAGTATGGCTGCCTCCTCTTACTAGTCTGTGGCCACAGTCCAGACTTTTCCTCCTGTCATTCGCTTAATTGCATTGTCCAGCATTTGCCAAATAACAAATTCTCATTAGGGGATATGTTACAGAAGGCTTGTGTGGAGGCTCCATCTGCCCTTAAATGCGTAACCACAACACTCTCATGGCTGTGCCTGTACTAGGTATATCAAAGCATCCACCAAAAGTCAGCTGCCAGGTTCAACTCCTCCTGAAACTGTGCCAAATCTTGCAGGTTCCACTCTTGGATTTAAAGTAATCTCTGAACACTTTATGTATTGAAGTTAACGCTGTTGCTAGTTGACACACAAAACCTGCCACTGTATAGATTCTCTGCAAGCCTGATGGCCAGATCACCATAATTACTCTGTTCCGGATGTGTTTTCTGCATGAGTGTTTTTGATGCATTCCAATAGTTCTCAATGTGTTTTATCACCTTCCAGATGCAGATCATACAGATATTCAACTTTTGTTGACTGCACTGCTCTGTACTGGTGTGAACTAGGTACAGTAATTGGAATCCATGTTAAACACTGTTCATCATGCGTTCTTGATGGAGAATAAACACATACTGGACTGCAACTGGTGTGAACCAGCCCTAAGTACACATTTTGGTCCATAGGATCTCTAAAGGCAACTGAGTTATAAAAAGGCAAACACACTTGATGCGCCAGACGTTAAAGGACAGCATCCACCCATGGAAGTGCACGCATAACATGCATCAGCTGCCTTATTTGGATGATACTTAGAGAACCTGTTACTTTAGATTGGTCTTCATCAACGAGCTCTGTCATTGTGGGAAAAGAAGGCCTTTTCGCTTCTTGCGCTCTCTTTTTTGTGTTGCCTGTGGCAGCATACCTTCTGCTATAGCCTCCTAAATAGAGGCCTAGAATTATGCACATCCGCATCTTTATCCATTATCACTTCTCTGAGGCAATCCATACAGTTTAATTTTTCTGCCACTGCAGACTGCATGCCGGCCCAAAAAGAGCCCTGAGTTGGGCAAGGCATTTCCTATAATGCTGGCATAAACATATGTGAGCCAGTGCCACATGGGCTACTTGCAGAGGATTCTCAGGAATGTGGATTGTCCTGTTCAGGAGAAAATGACAGATGGCGGGTCTTATGTTTTTTGGAGTGTTTGCGTTTAGGGCTTCTGCTCCTAAAATAATGCAAAACACCATAATTTGCAATCTTTGAGCACTTTTTTAAAGACATGTCCCACGTTGCCCCCTCCTACCTTTGCTAGTCTTCTGTGTCACGAACAGGTGTGGTGAGCTCATATCTGCACAAAATATATGTAGAAAATCATATTTACCTCTCACCAAAAACAGGTACACTGTCTATAAAACCTATCCAACCCAAGTGCCTTCATCCACTTACTTCAGAAGCAGCAGCAGGTGAGCTCATGCGGCCCTTCCAGAGGAAAACAGGAGACACCAAAACTAGTCACACTGTCAAATCTCCAGGAACACACAGCATAGGAGAGGAGACAGGAGAGCACATCCAGGGGCAGACAGGAAACACAGTCTGAATCTGAGACAAAACAGTCAGAATCTGAGGCAAACCCCAAACTGTCCAACCTCCGGGAACACACAATAGGGAGCAACAGCACCAAGTCTTTAACTAGCTGGACTTCTGGGAGAGAGGGTGAGAAGCCAGTTCCTCTGTAGACTTTTCGGACTGCTTACGCTATTGCTTGGTGACTGGTGGTCATTATCCTGCTCTGCCCCATCTCCCTGCCCTCTGTGACATCATTCACAGCCGCTCTCAGACTATAATCCAGGAGAGCAATGTGATGTGCTGCCTATGCAATACAGGAAAAAAACCCAAGGGAGAGGCAATGGTGACATTGCAGAGCTTTTCTAATACCACACCTGCACAATACTCGTGCTAAGCAACATTGCCTGCGGCCCGGCACACAGGGCACCCAGTTTCAGGAAGGTGTACTTCCAACATTCTGAGTCCTCCCAACACCAGGAGAGGCTGAACCTGGAGGGGTAGATGCGGCGGGGGGGAAGAAATACTTTCAGCAAACAAAGTATTTATCAACTGTAATCAACAGGAGGCCTGGAGCATGGCCAAAAAAGAACACTTTATTTGGGGAGGAGTTATCTTTTATTCAGCTAAGGAATAGGTAGTCCTGTGGGTTCCAAAGGAGGCGTTAACCCATTGTGTGCTTACATGAGGTGGGCCAGGAAAAGAGAATTCACTTTGTCAGCCTGTGGTCTTTATGGGCTTCCTGTATTATTCCTGACACTGAGAGAAAGTGCAATTAGTTGCAATGAATGAGACAAACTAGCTTAGGCAATGTCTGTCTTAGTCATTTCAATTCTTGAGCAATTCAAAGCTAAATGTCTGTTACTCAAACACTGAAGACAGATAGTGAACAGAAGGACACAATATTGCCCCCCCCCCCCGCCTAGAGCTCCATTTGTTCTTAATCTGGCCATGACTCAGGCTCCTCGTAACATTGTCACAGGACACTTCATATATACTCTATTACAGGGCTTAAAATATCAAGTCCTGAGCTACTAGCCAGGCCTTAAGAGTTACTCGCCACCAGTTGCCCCACCCAACCTACCCTGCTACACCCCTAATTCCCCCCTAAACACGCCCTCGTAAATTATTTCATGAAATTACACTGTTAAATGTTACCCACATTACATCAGGGTCCCCAGAGTCCCCCCACATTACATCAGGGTCCCCAGAGTCTCCCCACATTACATTAGGGCCTCCAATGTCCCCCTAAACACTCTATCGTACTTAGACCATAACCATAACACAACATACAACCATAAGCCCCCATAATCTTTCACTCACAAAACCATAACTCTACCAAGCATATTCTACCTACTATCCAAACCAGCAATACCTCAAATGTCCCGTACTCTACCACCCATAATAACCACATAATCCTGAACCTGACCAAACCACCCATACATATAGGTTTACATACAGACACATGTACATACACACACACACAGAGACACCTGTATACACACACACACAGACATGTACATACACACACATACACAGAAACGTACACACACGCACAGAGACACATGTACACACACACACACATACAGACACATGTATACACACACAGACACGTACAGACACGCATACATGTCCGTACACACAGACACATGTACATACACAGAAATACACATGCACAGACACATGTACATACACACAGACACACGTACATAAATATACACACATGTACACGCACACAGACACATGTACACACACACAGACACATGTACGTATATGCACACAAACATGTACATACACGCAGACACATGTACAGATACACACATGTACACACAGATACATGTACACACACACACACCCTATAAAAGTTGCAGTACTTCGTTGTTCACTCACAGAGCCGGGTACTGCACTCTAGGGGGAGGCAGAGAGCACAGCACACACACTCCTTCCTTTGCTTTCACTGCGATCAGCTATTGAGCAGGCTGATGGCTCTCAGTGCAAATTACAGATCCAGCCCTGAGTTCTGAGCCTGCTCAGCAAGACGGCCACTCGCCCCACCATAATTTCCACTCACCATTGGCGAGCAGGCGAGTGGAAATTTCACCACCTGCTCTATTAGTCTACGTTGACTTCACCTATATAACAACTCATGACTTTCATAATGAAGCAACTTTCCTGAACAAATTAAAAATGTTTGACGTCTTTCCATACATTTGCATTTTTGACCTGAAATTCCACTCATTTCACAATTGGGGCCTTGTCCATTTCTATTGCATTGTTTCAGCTAGTTCAAAAGTTGGAACAATTTTCTCTCACTGCTGTTCATAGGTCCATCTTTCTTTCTGGAAATGGGGCCAAATCTTATTTCAAAGTACCATAATCAGGTCCTAAAATACAATTTTTATGTATTGTAAGTCAGTTATCAGTAAGGGAGTATCAACATATGGTATATTAATAGGGGTCTTGCATCTGTCAGAAGTTTAACTTTAACAACAAATTAGGATGCTGAAACAATAAATTACCAACATAGTTAAAATGTGTAGACTTTTTTTTTGTTTTTGATAGGGAAGCATTAAACACCCTGTCAGGTTTTTTACTGTCTCTGACCTGGTGGGGAGATTTCCTGCAACAGGAAATGAGAAAGAAAATCCTCAAAATGAAAGAAATTTTCTTAGACAATTGTCACCTGGATATTTGATTACATTAGCAGATTTACCCTTAGCTCAAGTTTTGGTGAGAAATCTAAATTTTAGGGTTTGCCCTCACTTTGTCTCAATAATTATGGTCGCCAGGACAAATAGGGGAAATCTCCCAGCAAATACATGGCAATGAGAGCTTGATATAGAGTTTTACCCTTCCACACTCTATCCAAAAATAAAACAAAAAAAAGTTTTAATTTACATACACTTTAACCAATATTTTTTAAATTGGCTTGTTGGAATTTTTGAACATACAGTGGTTCTAGTAGAAAATTGATGAGAAACTTGAATTTTTATGCCACAGGTCTTCCCATCAAGGGAGTGCTGCAGAGAAGCTCTAAAATTATGTAAAAATGTATTAGTCCCAGTAGAAACCGTGGTTGAGCCCTGCATTTTAATTTACCATAAAATTCCTTTTTAAGACCGCCTTTAAATTTATTAATTGTATTTATTTCATATTTCCTGTTCTTTTTTCTTATAATTAAAATGGATTGTTTTTGATTTATAGGTAGAGAATGAGGATGCAGAAGCAAGTCCTAAATCCCCTCATACTTTTCCACACACTCCAGGCCTAAGTCGCAGTCAGGAGCTGGATAGTGGAGTTGGGCGAACAGATGAGAGCACTCGCAATGATGAAAGCTCTGAACATGACCTTTTGGGAGATGAACAAACAAGTAGTGCAAATACACCAGGCAGCCAACGTCGTTTGCGTTTCTTGCGAGGAGACAACCAGCATCCTCTTCAGTGTCGTGAATTTCATCATAGTTTGGACTCCCTGCTTGCAGCTGATGGGTCAGCACCTTACAATGAAGTTCTTCCACCAGGTGCAGGATTCACAGATGAGGAGTATGAGAGATATCGAGAACTGCTTGAAATCACATGTCACATGGAAAATGGTAATGGACCAGCCTTCCTCTATGCGTCACGACAGGGTGGATTAGATGTAAATCGCAATGAAAGTGTCCTACGGGAAATGGCGGTTCTGGAAGAAGAGTTGAGACATCTGGAATTTAAGTTTCGCAATGTTCTGCGTGCCCAAAAGATGCAACAACTGCGTGAACGTTGCATGAAAGCTTGGCTTCTTGAGGAGGAGGAGAGTTTGTATGGCTTTGTAGGAGGGGGGGTAGTGCAAACAATGAAAGTTCTACCAAGCTTCCTGACATCACTGAATTACCAGAGAGATCAGACAAGGACAGTACCAGTGCATATAACACTGGGGAGAGCTGCAGGAGCACTCCTCTGATGATGGAGCCACCATTACCTTTGGACAGCCCCTTGAGGAGAAACAACGATCCTTCAGGAGCAGTTTGTCAAGCAGCAGAAAACCTTCCCTCTAACAGTAATTTAAACAGAGGACATGGCAAAAATGTACCTTCATACCCTGGTAGTCCAGAGTCAGTGCCATCCAAATTTAGATCTTTGTGTCGCGATGGAAGGCACCCAACAGAAGACAGGTTAAGAAGAGGATCAAAACCAGGAAATGAGCTTGAAAGGGGAAGCCGTGAGAGCAGTCCATACCTAAGCAGACATCATCGCTCCCAGGGAGGGGAACGTTATCGAAGCTGCCTACAGTTGGCCCAGCCAAGAAGTTTAGACGAACTGGATGTGGACACCACATGTGGAAAGAATATGGGTTCATCACGAGGTGCTCACTCCCAAGCTGAACCAAGAATGGAGTGGAAGGTAAAAATAAGGAGTGATGGCACACGTTATGTGGCTAAACGCCCTGTAAGAGACCGCCTTCTAAAAGCAAGAGCCATGAAAATCAAAGAGGAGCGCAGTGGGATGACCACTGATGATGATGCTGTGAGTGAGATGAAAATGGGACGTTACTGGAGCAAGGAAGACAGAAAGAGGCACCTAATGAGAGCTCGAGAGCAAAGAAAGAGGAGAGAATTCATGATGCAAAGCAGACTGGACTGTCTACGTGAGCAACAGCAGCAGCAAGGTGCAGAAGGCAAGGGTGAAATGAGCATTATTGCACTTTTAGTCACCGCAAGACAATGAAAAAACGCAACAAGAAGATCTTGGACAACTGGATCACAATCCAAGAAATGCTAGCTCATGGAACACGCTCAGCTGATGGAAAGCGGGTTTACAACCCCTTGCTCTCTGTCACTACAGTCTGATCAACTAACATTCCTCAGAACCTCTTTACCAAATCAGATTTCAATGATTATCTTTGTTCCACTCTGAACACTTTTACACATTCCACCTGCAATTGATCAGTCCACCCTTAACTGACATGTTTATATTTTGGTTGGCGTCAAAAGGTTAACTCACCTATCAGCTTACATCTATAAGGAATTCCAGTGGCAAGGTCTCAGCACATGATTTCCCAGATTCTTCTCCCTGCTACAATTCTTGTAAAAGTGTTCCTTTTTAAATTGAGCCTGTCATTATAAAGAAAAATAAAGCTATCCTGTAAAAGAATATTAAAGCATACCTTGCGCTACAAGCAAGGTTCACTTATTGCATGCCAAAATGCTGCAAAAGAACAAAAAAACCCATAGGTGAAAAAATGGTTAACATTTACCTTTTCCCATGCTTGCATACATAGGTGGAGTCACTCTACTCCAGACAAGATCCTAGGGAATGCTAAGTAGTAAAAACCTTATGGGATGAGGCTCAAACAAAACGCATGAGTGTGTTTTCTCAAGATTTGTGCATTCCCAAAGATCTTGCTAGAAGTAGTATGATGTCACCCTCGTCTAGGTGCTGTGGGAAGAAGCCAGAGGAGGCAAATTAAATATATCCATTTTTTCTCCCCATTTGTTTTGCAGTGTATTACAGGCTATGTTACAAAATGCAGCATTAGAAATCATAATTCAAGGTGGAGAGAGCAGACATGAATACTTTGGTGAGATCTTGCAGCTGGAAACTCCAAGAGAGATGATGCCAGCGGGTGAATCTTCTCACTACAGAGCACCAATAGCTAGAACATTAGTTTTGGGTGGACTTCAGTTCCAACGTTCTCTTGGTTACTTTAATCTCCATATAAACATTTTGTTACCTTTATGGTTATTTATATTCTCAATTTTGAAGATATATAAGAGGTTTTTAAAACACAGGGTGAACTTTCCAAACCAGCCATTACTTGTAGATTTCACAATTATAACATGTTAGAAACTCTTTTAATGGACACAGTTGTCAAGCAACGATGAAAAAAATTCTGGAGGCGATAAGCACACAGTGTAAACCTTTGTCAAATTTTGTAGGTGGAATAAAGCTGAGCACAATTTTATTTATTGTTATATGGAAATATCTTGCCTTGATGAAGAATCATATAGCCTTTGCCAATGTTATTACCATGCTGTGATTTTCTACAGGCTTGATCTTTTCATTCTATTTTAAAACTATACACTGCCATCTTGTGGTTACAGAGCACACGGACAACTTTAAGAACAGTAAGCAACAAGCTTCATGATGGACAAAATAAGCACAAAGGCAGTGTTGGCTGTGAATTTCAATACAACAATCTGCCCTTGAAATTGTGGACACAACTATAAGGGGCTTTGTACATCTGCCTGTCTGTTGTTAAAAAAAAGTGATTGTGATGACTTCTGTTTGACCTTATTTATTAAGTTCTCACTATACTGTTTAAATGTTTGAGATTAAGAAAAATGTCTATGGGCAGGAGGTGGAGGTATTTTTACAGGAGCCAGAACAAAGATTTTTTTTTTTTTACTCTTTTGTGTTTGCTAATTACCAATATGCAGGGAGAGAGACATGATTGTTTCAAATAATTTTAAATCATTTTATATGGAAGCCAGACAGGGTTTTAACATAAACCTGTGATGTCCCGGAGCAATGCAATCTGAGCATGTGATTAGGAAAATGTGAAAACAGAGGTTATCCTAGATGAAAATCACATGTCGAACCATTGGGTCAGCTTATATTCTAATGTAATTTTTCATGTAATAGTGTAGTTTTACACTTCCATCTTCCAATTACTCTATGGCACCACCCATCACATTAAAGGACAGATAAGGAGGTAAGAGGGGCTTGAATTTTTTCACTGTAAAATTAAACATTTGCTGATTACATTTCTGTATTTATTATTTATCATCATTTATTGATCATTTTGACATGTAGTTTTCACTGGAGGCAACCTCTGTTAAGTTCGCATTTCCCAGGTTTCTTCTACTTTTACTTTCATTTGTTTTTGTATGGTGAAGGAAATAAGTATTTGATCCCCTGCAGATTTTGAATGTTTGCTCACTCACAAAGAAACTTGCCAGATCCTCTCCAAGTTATTAAGGTTTGGTGGCTGACGTTTGGCAACTCGAACTTTCAGCTCCCTCCACAGATTTTCATTCGGATTAAGGTCTGAAGACTGGCTAGGCCACTCCTGGACCTTAATGTGTTTCTTCTTGAGCCACTCCTTTGTTGCCTTGGCCGTGTGTTTTGTCATGCTGGAACACCCATCCACAACCCATTTTCAATGCCCTGACTGAGGGAAGAAGGTTCTCACCCAAGATTTGACGGTACATTGCCCTGTCCATTGTCCCTTTGATGCAGTGCAGTTGTCCTGTCCCCTTAGCAGAAAAACAACCCCTAAGCAGAATGTTTCCACCACCATGTTTGACAGTTGGGATGGTGTTCTTGGGGTCATTGGCAGCATTCCTCCTCCTCCAAACAAGGGGAGTTGAGTTGATGCCAAAGAGCTCGATTTTGGTATCATCTGCCCACAACATTTTCAACCAGTCCTCCTCTGCATCATTCAGATGTTCAGTGGCAAACGTCAGATGGGCCTGGACATGTGCTTTCTTGAGCAGAGGGACCTTGCAGGCACAACAGGATTTCAATCCTTGTCGGCGTAGTGTGTTACCAATTGTTTTCTTGGTGACTGTGGTCCAGGCTGTCTGGAGATCATTGACAAGATCCTCACGTGTGGGATGATTCCTTACTGTTCTCATGATCATTGACACTCCAGGAGGTGAGATCTTGCATGGTGCACCAGACCTAGGGAGACTGACAGTTGTGTTGTGTTTCTTCCATTTGCGAATGATTGCACCAACTCTTGTCACCTTCTCACCAAGCTGCTTGGCTATAGTTTTGTAGCCCAGTCCAGCCTTGTGTAGGTCTACAATCTTGTCCCTGACATCCTTGGACAGCTCTTTGGCCTTTGCCATGGAGGAGAGTTTGGAATCTGTTTGTTTGATTGCTCCTGTGGACAGGTGTCTTTTATACAGGAAACAAAATGAGATTAGCAGCACTCCCTTTAAGAGTCTGCTTCTAATCTCAGCTTGTTACCTGTATGAAAGACACCTGGTAGCCAGAAATCCTGCTGAATGATAGGGGATCAAATATTTATTTCCCTCATGAACATGCAAATCAGTGCATAATTTGTTAGACATGCATTTCTTTAGAATTTTGTGTTGCTTTTCTGTCTCTCAGTGTTACAATACACATACCATTTGATTTTTAGACTGATAATTTCTTTGTGAGTGGGCAAACATTCAAATCATCAGGGGATCAAATACTTATTTCCTTCACTGTAACTTATGCTAGGAAAATGACAGTTTATACAAGTGAGACAATGCAATGAAAGCTCTAAAAATGTTATCCTGTTAGGTTTCCTATAGGGTGGATACTATAATGTATGAGTGTGATATCCACTTTCTTGTAACTGCAGTGGCATAGTAGCAATAGCTACTGCACAGAAGACCCTAGGGAGGGGATATCTATGACAATGACTCTAGCCTATCCATTATCAGACTTTTTTGTGCATTCATATATTATCTGAGGTGAAATCTTGTTGTCTTGCTGCATATTTTGCAGTGACTGCCGGAAAATTCAGTTACATCCATCAATATATCAATTTTAATTAAACCAGAGTTGCTAATTTATTATACTGTAAACTATCATATACAGCGGCTGGCTATTTCTCCTTAGCTCTGCACCCTTAATTTCCCTTCCAGATTTTCTGCAAATCTCTACTCTGGCTGCTGCCAAATGTCTAGAACAGGGGTCATCAAACTTTTTAAACGGGGCCAGTTCAAGGACCTTCACACTGTTGGGGGGCTGAACTATAGTTTGAAAAAACTATGAACAAATTCCTATGCACACCAAACATATCTTATTTGTAGCGCAAAAAACAGGAAAAAACAATACAATATTTAAAATACACTAACGCACTGGACATCGCAATGCATTGTACTCTGTAACGCACTGGACAACAAAATGCACTGTACACTGTAACACACTGTACACCGCAGTGTACTGTACTCTGTAATGCACTGGACAGCAAAATGCACTGTACACTGTCACACACTGGACAACGCAATGCACTGGACACTGTAATGCACTTGACATCACAATGCACTGTACACTGTAATGCACTGGACACCGCAATGCATACTGTAACGCACTGGACACCAAAATGCACCGTACCCTGTAACGCACTATACACTAATACACAGGACCCCGCAATGCACTGTACTCTGTAATGCATTGTATTCTGATACACTGGACACCGCAATGCACTGTACCTGGTGCCTAGTGTGCTTTCGTCCTGTCTTGTTGCTCCTCTGGCTGCAGCAGTTGAAATCCGAGGCTTCCAGACTGTCGATCTCTGGGTCCATGCGCCCGAGGACCCAGCGAGCAGCCTAGCTATTTGCCGGCCGGCGCCCCTGGTCTAGAATATAACCACTCTGCTGTTCACCTGTGTAAATTAAATTAGAATATTCGGTCACAAGCAAATAGAAGTTAACTGCTAACAACTGTAATGGTATTGCTTTTCTCCAATATGAAAAAATGCTGCACAGTTTATTAGGAACTTGTCCTAAAATGACAGGAAACGTTAAACAAGTTAAATAATAAAAAAGTTTAAAGTTAAACCGCTCATCACAATTTGACAGTGCAGTTGTGGTTGTGCAGCCCTATTCGCATACAAGGTGCTTTCAGGGGCCAATCACCTACACCTGCACAGGTATCATATTGGGCCGAGAGGCTGTGTTCATGCAGCTGCTGCACTCCCACAGACATAAATGGGCTGCCAGCAC